GAATCCTGGTAAACTGGAAGTGCCCAGCTAGAGGCCAACTGCATGATCCTCATGAATGTTTCAGAGCACCCTTACATGACAAGTTGACTTGACAGGCACGATTAAACTCTCCTGTGGGCAGCCTGATGCATATTTATTAAATTCAAATTGTGTTTTAATCTTATGTAAAGTCAAATGTTTACCCTTTCTCACTTCCTTAGTTCTTGTGCTTCACCTAGTGGTGAGCCATTTGATACAAGAGTAGAAGTTCATAACCAAAAACATTACATGGAAACCTAGATGGTTCACCTTGTTAATTGCATATTTTTGTTTGAAATTTTGGCTTTTGTCTGTTCAAAACCAAAATGGTTCTGCTCTATTTGGATATAAAAGACAAAAAAATAGTCTGAATTTCTTTTTTTTTTTTTCTTTCTTTCTCATTTATACGTTCCTTTAGGAACTTATTTTGAGTGGGTTTTCACTTTCTGGTTCTGGTTGGATTTTTTTTTTTGTAAATAGAATAGCTGATGTTACTGTCACATCGATCTCATTGCGGTCTCTCATTGTATCCAAAATGAAGTTCTACTTGTGACCAGGCTGAAAAATTTGCCAAGGGTGCTAGACAGTCTTTACCAAAAAAAAAAAACCCCAAACTGGTATATCCGATAAGAGCAGAGAATTTGTTATATATTTTTTTTTCATGACAAAACTCCTTGGATACCCTTTTTTCTAAGATAAAAGACAAATGAACTGATACACTGTGTCATCATTGTCATCCCTTCTCCAAATAACTTTTCAAGTATATTGAAAGAAACACTAATTTGGAGTCTTATGTTTGAAATTAATGATCTTGCAGCAAATATTTCCTACTTTAAATGTCTAAACCTTTTCAAAGATTAAAGGAAATTAGTGCTGGCATGTTTCATTAATTTGGCACTGCAACAAGAGGAAATGTGGGACTAATTTCATTTGTATGGATTAAGAAATGTGTCAGTTTTTCCATTCTTTCTCTCTAGGGCATTTTTTTACTGCAAGGCCTGTCATGATGACATCACGGATCCCAAAAGAATAAAAAAATGTGGCTGCAAACGGCGTAAGTAATATTTCCATCACTCCCTTCCTCTCCTTTTCATGAATTCTTCAGCCTTAAAGAATAGCTGTACATGCATTTACATATTTTACACAGTGGTACAGAAAAGCTAAGAAATAAATGCACAGCAAAATAGTAAGTGGCATTTGCATTTCTGAAGTGCATATATTTTTATTACATTTCACACCACTCACACCTGTTTCTTCATTAAAAAGTCCATTAGGGTCCAAAGCTAGCAAAACCTGAAGAATTAAATCGAGTGAGATCTAATTGTGGAGCTTTCTGAGCTAAGAATGAGCTAACAGTGAAGTTCTGCTCTCTTGCATACCATGCAGAAATCCAGTAATTTGAATAGTTTTCTGTAAAGTGAAGAAGTGCTATCTACCTTTCTGAACGTGGTTCTGTACAAGAAGAAACTAGGGAATAATATTCCATCATATAACTATTGGAATAAATCATTAATGAAATAAACATTCAGTTTTACTGGAGGAAGGGATTGTCTGGAAGAAATTAAATATTAGTGCCTCTTACATAAATCCTTTTAGAAGATTCCATAGCTGTAACGCTAATATGTGGTTTAGTTAAGTTCTTAGGTCTGCTCTTTAAATAGTTTGGAAAATTTTGCATGAAGAAATAATTGAATTTTAGGATCAAAATCAGGCTTTGCATCTATATTTTTATAAATATATAGCAATTAGCATTTTATCTAGATATACTTTGAAAGGACTTTTTGCAGGAACTATCACAACTGTATTTTGGGCCAAAGATGTGTTTTACCCATGCATATTTTGTAATACTGATATCAAAAGGACTGTTTCTCAATAGTTATCTGAAAATTTATGTGTATTCTGCCATGAAAAAGATCATTCAGTTTAAAAGTACTGATGAGGTACATTGAAAGATCTTAGAAGAGGTTGATCGTGTCTATTCTACTATTGCTTTTAAAAGGGAAAAAAACTCTTATTTATAGGTCCAATTATAGTGTTGTCACTGCACTGCCTTAGAGGATGGAAGAAAGCCTAAACTGGACCTTCTCTGCCTTTAAGGGGTGCCTGTAGTGAATGAACTCTTGAAGATTATTTTAAAAAGACAAATTATGTCACTGGAGTTTTTACAGAAACTCCTCTCCCTGCAGAAAACAGGACTTTGGAACAAAGTAGTATAATTGAGAGGAAGCAGCTGAAACACTGACAGAAAATGGTATTTATCCTCCCAGTAGCCACAAGGAGAGAAAAGCACATGGAAAGCATGCCTGATGTGGAAGGAATGTATGCATTGCCTAACATATTGGAAAAATATTGTTCAAGAACAGTTTATCCATGTGAGAATGTGACCTTTGAACTGCTGCCAAAGCCAGTGAGGCTGCTGAATAACTTCTGGTAAAGCCAGTTACAGATGCCTTGGGGTGTCTGTAACTCTCAAACCCAATCTTTTTTTCCAAATTACCCAACGGTTAAAGAGAAATATGTTACCTGTTTAATTTTATCTGATTCTGTCAATATTTTATTTGTACTTTCTTAGCTACTCCTCCTTCACATGGTGTATGCTTTTCACACATGTGCTGATTAAAAATAAAAATCCCAAAGATCTGTCATTTCAATGTGAGATCTACACTTTTCATTGAAATCTTTTAGAAGACAGGAATCAGAAATTAACAGTATAAAGGGCAAGATCCCTTTATTATACATTAGGGAAAATCAATATAACCTCCTCAGTACTAGGAAAACAGGGAAAAAACAGAGTATCTTGTGACCCAGCCAACACAATGGATCTATTACCAGCAGTGGGCCTATGGAGAGGTGAGAGTGACAGCTTGTGTGTAGCACTAGGAAATGTTCCAAATGGACAGGCACACATATCAGTCCAATATATGAAAGGATGCTGGACAGATGAAGAAACAAAATGATGGGGTTAGTGAGGCTGAGAGAAGCAGCTGTCAGAGCTGGTGCAGCGAACACTAAGGAGGGCATCCTCTGAGCCAGGTGAAAAAGAAAATAAAATGGTCAGTGAGAGTAAAATCTTAAATTTCCCCTTCATTGTCTCCCCTTTCCCTCTCCCCCCATCTTCCCTTTCCTCTCTTCATTCCCACATACACAAGCATATGGTCACAGATACCATAATAGCGGGCAGGTCTCAGTACAGCTGAGAACAGCTTCCACTTAGGAGCATGCTCACAACTATTAGGAATAATAAAATTGCCTTGCTTTTAAAGTTCCATCAATCAGAAAAAAATTAAATGAAAAATTTCAACAGTAATTAGTGATTTTTTTGGTGTCTCTAATTTTGATAACAATCTTGAGATCCCTTTTATGGGACCTGATATTTTTTTTCAAAGGTAAGTCTGTAGTGCAGTCTATTATTCACATAAAATATGTCTTAGCTTTAGCTTTCAAATCACTAATCACTTTTGAAAAATCTTGACTAAGTTATCCATCTGTAAGCTACACAAATCATTGGTCTTAAAAAGGCAGTCTAACCAAAACACAGCGTAAATTAAGAAAACTCTTTCTCTATCGAGTTAGGAAACTGTGAACTGATCTGTCAACAGCTAATATGTCAATCTGATTTTCAAAGACACTGCAAATAGTCACACATGTGTTTATGTAGTCCTATATGATAAATATATATTTTAATTAGCAAGTAACATAGCAATTAGAGGCAGCTGAATGCAGAAAAGGTGTAAGATGAAGTGGAAGGTTGTATGTAAAAATATTGACGCATTCAGGTGAATTAAATGTGAAAGAATATCTTTACATGGAAAACTTAATTATGGTGGCATTAATTAATGCAGCTTCCTGTGACAATTGAAAACCACATTCTTTAATAATGCATCGGAAGTTGCACATCAATTTAGATGCTGTCTGAACATTAGCTTGTGGTATTGTTGGGGTCTAAACGTGAGCCTGACCTACATAGCCATTTGTCCAAACCTGTTAGGCCTAATATTAATAATTCAGGGCAGATCAGTACGTTTCCACCAGGCCAGTGATAATTAAAGTAACCTCGCTTTCCTTTTGCAGTTTCTTTGCCATCCCTTTCTTCTTACCCATCCCACTCCCTGAATAACATATGAATGCTGATGTCACATTGCCCAGAGAAATGCTTATGTGGCTATTTTATTCACAGATTGTTAATATTTTCTTTGATGTTTTCAATCTCTCTCCTATTCCATTTAACTGTAGTTTTTGCAGCAAGGGGCCAAATACATGTATATATTTATATAAAATGCAGCCACATTGGGATGAAATCTCTAAACTGGATGACCTGCTCCTCCTGTTTCTTTCATTTTGTGCAACAGCTATGGTCTAATTCTCTATATATTTTTTCCAGTGACAGTGCTTGCTGTGAACGGTGGGGGTTGAACCCCAGAGGGGACATATCATGTGTACATTGATGTGTTTGAAGGAATTTCTTGTAATCTATGACAATTGACAAACTTTTGATTTATTTTTCCTCTTGCTGCCTTGGAACACGACCCCTACTATATTTTAACTGCACACTGATAGTGATCTATTGTGAGTAAAAATGGGTTCCCTGTAGCCCAGAGTGCGGTCCAACCTGTCTTTCTCTAGCAGAGAGTATTTTTGTTCAGTATTTTGGTTCTTTTCTTTATTTATGTTGCATGTAGCAGTGACGTCATACCCACAAGTTTCTCATCGTTTACACCCACGGAGATTAGGGTGACGTTGAAGAAAATACAGCAGTTTTCCCCTCTTCCACCTTTTTGCCCCTTTTTTTCCACAACCTTATTTTTTACCCCTATTTGAAAATGAGATCTTGGCAGTGGCATTTCCTCGAAATGATTCTAAAGATATCTCATGAATTTTAGGGATGTCGCTTAGGCTGGGGTAATTACCACTATAGCACTGTTTGCCTGGTTAAGTGCAATTCATTGTCAGACCTGTGTTCAATTTTTTTGTACTTTGTCTTTTCCATTGCATAGCTGACACAGAGTAACACAGCAGTCTTTTACTGTTCTTACCCAACTCCTTTCTCCCTGTCAGCAAAAAAAAAAAAAAAAAAGATGGGGGTAAAGCCAGACAATGAATTAAATTTGCGTCTAACTTTCAATGTGTAAACCTACAGATATCTTCAACAGGAAACAAGCTACAGTGATTATTTTCCCCAGCTTCCTAGTTTTGAAATTAATTCCATGAGTAGAGCCACACTGACTTTTCAGAATCTAAGCTGTAAAGTTTTACATTATTATTATACAGAGAATACAAACTTTATAGACCACTTCATGTCAGTCTAAGTCATACCACTTTAAAGTGTACGGAATCTATGAAGGCTCTCGTCAGCCACAGTGTACAGTTGTGATAATTTAAATAAGCACAGCATTTGGGACATGGAAAGAATTTGCTGCTTAGAAATACAAGCACTGGAAAGAAATGTACTGGTTATAGGGCAGTGTTGGATTATATGGGCTTATTCTTTCAAACAGCAAGAGGTATCAAATATTTAATAGCTGCAGTGAGGCATAACTGCACCAGGTTGAGGCTGCTAACTGCTCTGTATTACTGCAGCTATCCTAAATAAGTGAGGCTTTGAGAGTCTTTCAACATTTCACTAGATACTCTGAATTTATTGTTTGATAACACTTCAGGTCTTGATCAGGAATGAGATATTTTCCCCACCTCTCAGCTGTACCCACCATAGGATCTTGCAAAGAAACCGAGGAGAAGTTGACACTCCTGGAGTTGCATGATAAAGTGCAACTTTATCAAGTGCTATCTTGGGATTGTGATAGCCCTCATTATGTTTATCATTATTTACTATTTATCTTATTGTGGTGCACTGCAAGCTGCACTAAAGGATTGAGATCCTGTTGTGGTAATGTTGTGGTTTAAACCCAGCTGGCAACTAGAACCACGCAGCCTCTCACTCACACCCCCCTTCCTCCCCCCGCAGAAAGGGAGGGGGGGGAAGGAGGGGAAAGAGGAAGAAAACCTCGTGAGATGAGATAAAGACAGCTTAATAGAAATAATAACAGAAAAGGAAAAATAATAATAACAACAGTAATAGTGATGACAGGAGTCGCTCTCACTGCCCAGTGAATTGGAATGATCCCCAGCAGTGATTGTGGATTCCCGCCCCTGGCTAACCCCCCTTTATATACTGAGCATGACATCTGTGATACAGAATATTTCATTGGCCATTCTATCGTCTGTCTATACTTCTATGGGGAGCTGAAAAAGTCCTTGAATAGTGCAAATATCACTTAGCAACAACTGAAAACAATAGGTATTAATGACATTCCTTTCACAGCAATCACCAGAAGGAAAATTAACTCTTTCTCACTGAAACTAGGGCAGGTAGAAAGCATTCAATCAGAGGACAAAAATTTATCCAAAGATCTAATTTCAGCCAATAGAAAGACAGAGCAGAAAGATGGGGCAACAAAAAAAGCAGAGTGTGAAACAGGTCAGCACGATAAGAATCAATACTTAATAATAAACCAGAAAGGAACTAATTTCTGTGGATAAAATGATGAATCCTATTGACTTTGAGCCAAAATACTGGAAGTAATGTGGATTTATTTGAAGTTATGTATTAATTTTAAATAGATTCCTATGTTGAGGCCTTTCTGGACCAGAGAAGTCAGTTTAAATAGTAATAAATAAACAAATAAAAGAGCTCTTCATGCTAAGACGTTATTGAAAAAGCAAAGGTCATATAGCTTTGACTTGTTTTTTTTTTTTTCCATTTCCCCAATAGCTTCAGTTTGTTCAGAAGTGCAGTTAGCTTTGAGAACGCGCTGGCTGAGAGTCTTCTTTAAGGCAATGAAGGAAAGGGTATGATTAGATTTGAAAATTAAAATGAATTGGTCTATAAATGTGTCATTACTTCAAAACCAGTGAATCATTCTTATAGCTACCAAAATAGGGCAAAACATCCACTCCGGTCACCTGCTGTTTCTGCAGTTTTGATAAAGAACAGCACTGTATGAATTGTAGGAAACAACTAACCAATTGCAAGATAGTGATCAAGCTGACTTGGTGGTCTTGAAGTGGTTCTGTAAAAATTAAATAACAGAGAGATAGCTTTGCCTGTTGTGTTAAGAGAAAAATTCTCACAAACAGTTTGAGATACGCTGCTGTATTTTTCAGGAAACTGAAATTGTGCTGCGGGAAGTCCTTTCAGTATTTCAGTCTCATGATGCTAACCAGCATTGCAAAAAGGCAATCAAATCAGTTTGGTCGCCCTTTAATGCTGCTTTTATTGTACTCGTAGTGTGGATCATGAGAACGTGATGAATTGAAATGAAACTATGCATTTCAATTCTTAAGTGTAGCGGGACCTTTTTTGCCATTAGCTGGTCAAGAAACCTCCGGTTCTTCTTAACCAGCTGTTATCTCAAAGAGATCCACTAGATGTCCTCGTAGATCTACTTTTTATTACCGTTGAGGTCACAAGGAAAACTGCTATAGCGATGGGTGGAATACGAGGATTGGGAAAAATGTATGGTTTTAAAAAAAAAAAAAAAAAAAAAAAAACAACACAAAAAACCCCAACAAAACCAAGAGAGAAATTAAGATACTTTGTTCTGCTTGCTTTAAAAAAAATGGAGCTGTTCCTTGACATCTTAGGTAGAGAATAATCTGCAGTTTCCTTTGCTTATTTTTGCAGCTGGAAATATTTCCCATTACTGTTTGTGAACTCTAAGTAACACCTCAGATCCAGACAATCTAGAAATTTTGACTGGCCTTTTTGAGTTTTTGAGGTCAGAAAGCAAGGTACTGCCAGAAGCTTAGACATCTAAGGCGCATTCCTGCCTTATTAGAATGGAAGGCTATTGCCTTCTGCTTAAAATTGCAACAAAAAAAGTTTTTAAAAGTATTTATTTGCTTTATAAATAGTTGACAGAAATTTTGCTTTCATTTTGCTCTTAACAAATCAGAAAATGACGAGTTTATAGATGCCTTGTTTTGTCAGTAAATTATTTAAGTAGTCTGATTTCCGTGTCCATGATAACTTTCCCTGAAATTTTTACTAGTTCATTTTACAAAATGCTGTGGGATAGTCATCATACTGAATAGAAGTATCTGTTCTTCCTTTTCATCCATTTATTATTCAATTGAATATAGGGAAATAATTTCCTTTATGTCCCAACTTATATTTTCACCAGTTGCAAATAACAGTTCTATTCAACATCCATAACATTTCTCTGCATAGAAATGAGTTGATTCTTATGCAGGTGCTACAGGTGTCAAATGAATTTAACACCCACCCAGAGCCTGTTCTTAAGGTCCCCCTGTCTCTCTGTTGATTCCCATTTTTTGTTGATGTTTATGGAAGTTTTATAGGAAAAGGTATGTGTGTGGCTGAACCATTTAAAATCATTTCTGTCTTGTCTTTGATCTTGTCACTGGTCATGCCTACTAATAATCCATGTTTTGTTTTATTTAAAAGAAAATAAGTATTGTATTTGGTATGAATGTAACAATGACTGTATAAAAGGAATGAAAAGTAACAGCATGTTTTCTTTCCGAAATGTATTGCTCTGATATGCAGTTGCTTAAATACTGGTTGAAAGCCTTATAGCAAGTCCTTTCTGCTACTTATATTTCCAGGTCCAAGCCTGTTTCCTGCATGTTAATGATGTGAAATATTAAAATGATGCATGATCTCCAGAACAACTGATAATAATTGTTAAAAACAGTCCCTGAAAGGGCATTGCTTTTGAGAAGCGCCATGAAGTCCTTCCCCTATTGAACAGAAGGGCTTAAATTTCCCACTTCATTGGTTTAAATCTGATGAAAATGGTACAAGTTTTCCTTCTCAACCCTCTTTGCCCTTAAGGATGATTTCTTTTAATTTTCATAAATGTGTCCTATCTTATTATTGACTGTTGACAAGATACGGCTACAAGTAAATGAAAAACAGGGACTGTTACTAACCAATGACACAGCAGTTGAGAATTTCTGAGCAGTGTGTTTTGCTACAGCATTTGATTAGAAAAAGTCCTTCAAAACAGCTATAATGAAAACAAAATGGGCCTGCCTTTTACATCACCTACTGTTAGTGTGTCTCACAAATGCCCTTTATTTTTCTTTCATTTCCTTAAAGTGAAAATAATAAAATAGGCATAATGGAAAGAATTCCACATTTCTGGTAACATATTTCACTTTATCATATTTCTTTTTCTGCCCAACTTTTCAATTTTAAAGAATGTGTTGGGAAGAGTTAGACAGAGGGAAACCATGGGAAAACAAATGCTGTTTTGAATTTTCTGTGTAGTTTGAATGTGTATGCATCAAAAGCTGCAGTGGAAGCCTTCTTACTAAAAGCCAAGCTCTGAGGAATGGTGTACCATGCAATGAACAAGCCTGATGCTGCATGATGACTTTCTGAACAGCTGTAAGATAACTCTACTAGGATGCTAAAAGAACATGGCATTAGTCATGTGAGCAAAGTTTTAGAGGAATGGAGTCGCTGCTGAAGAGATCACTCATTCATCTCCCTCAATGCCTGTTTTCCACAATCATAATGTTACCCTTGCTTGACAACTATACTGTATGGCAAGTCATCAAGGCCTTAGAACAGGACTTGACCCATTTGAGCGATTTCAGTCCCTCTTCCCTGGTGACTGTGGCATTAAGAAACTGGAAAAAAAAAAGAGAGAAATTATTTTAAATTTAATGTCATTACCATAATGCAGAAAAGACATCCTAAACTGAAGGTACAGGCCCGAGAAACATTACCTTTTTTCTGCATTTGCTTTTAAGGTTTTGTTTTTGCCTGTCAGTGTTCTGTTTTGTTTTTAGTATAATTGAGTCAGTTCAATCTAAACCATTACCAAAAGTGTTGGTTCAGTGCAACATGTGAAACAATCTAAGTGGCCTTTGGATTTCTTCAAACTTAATCGTACCTGTGATTCAGGTAACATACAAAATTGTACAACGGTAATTACACATTCCCCTGACTGAAGGATTTGAGCGTTCTGTTCTAACCTGGCACACCTTTTGGAATTAGCCTCTAATTCTACATTCAGTTATATGGTTCACGATCTACCTTTGAATCCAGAGCAGAAAAACACACCAATGATTGGGTCAGCATGTTTCAACGGACCAATGCTCTGTGTGCTTTTGGTGATGCCTTATTTGTGAACTGATTTTAATGTCAAGCATATTTACCATTATTAGTTGTGTCTCTTATATGGGCAAATTTTGGTATTCTGTCAAGAGTTAATTTGAATTCCTGAAGATGCAATGTAAAGAAAGTAAATTTTTCAGAAAATTTTATGAACCTCTTGTAACTCTTCAGTAATGTGTAATTTATTGCAATAAAGCAGTTCCCTGGCACAGTTTAATACAGAGAAATCATTAGCATATGTTTAAGAATAAGTATATTTATATATATGTATATATATGCATGTATGTGTATAATGTATATGTATGTGTGAGTGTGTGTATGTAAGAATATGTGTGTATGTGTGTATTTGTGTGTATACATACATATATATATAGATATATAAAAGTCTTTGATTTTTACAGGAAGTAGAGTAGGCCAAAAATATCGAATTGATTAGCAACTTTAGATTTTTCTTTTCATTTTAGCCCAGTAGTATTAATTGTGCCAAGGGAAAAATATATTCTTAGGATTCTCTGCTTTTACCATGTTCTTTTCCGATCCAAACACTCGACTGTAAACAGTAATTCTTCCCCATGTCTGCGGTCACCCTATAAGACTGAACAGAAATAAAGAGCAATTTATCTTTTGCCCTACTTTTAATCTACAGCCAAAGTGTTATCAATAATCTCATTGCATTTTTTTTCCTGGGTCAAGACTGTTAACATAAACTAAGGCCTGTATTAAATCCCTTAAATTACCTTCCAGCTGCCTTGTTATATATAACCTTGCCATTAACCTGCTGCTCTTCCTCTCCTCCCATCCAACACATGGTTATAGCCAAGATGTCCATCTACAAGAGAATGAAACTGGCATGTTGTTTTGATTGCGGACGCTCTGAGCGTGACTGCTCTTGCATGTCAGGCAGTGTACATAGTAACATGGACACCCTTGAGAGAGCCTTCCCACTTTCTTCTGTCTCTGTTAATGATTGCTCCACCAGTTTACGTGCCTGTAAGTTTTAACACCAACACATGCTGTTCCATGTCTGTGGTGTCTGTGGTATCATCCCCGTCTTGTGTCGTACATTGTAGTTCTGTGAGTTTTACTGGGCTGATGCTTTTTAAAAACGTCAAACCCAAGTTTTAATACAGCTCTGTATTTATATTTCTGTTTTAATTTCATTTTAATACAAAAACCGTAATTCATTATTTTGCTTTGTGTGCTCCTTATGAAGCATGCTTTTGCAATAGCATGCAGGACCTTAGTAGTGCAGTTTGGTGACATCTTTTTTATTTAATTCATACAATATAAATTGTCATTAATAAGTGCTTCAGTGGAGGAACAGGCCTGTGTCTAAACCTATGACTGATGCTAAGCGGACAGCTTCAATAGTGCTGGCACTAGAGCAGCATACAATAGGCAGTGAATAAATGTACAGGATACAACTTAGAAGCTGAATTGTTAGTAGCTGGAGTTCTATTCTATACTGCTTCCAAAACTACCCCTAGTTTTGTTTGTAACCCTTCATTCTCAGTAAGGCAGGACCTTCCATCTAATACAGAAACCGCAGAAGTAAAAATGGTTATACCTTTTGTAGTGGTTTTTTTTAGAAGGGCTTGACTGATGCAAACTTCCTGATGCAAACTTTTTGAAACTCACTGTAGAATCTGTCCCATAGGACAGTACCATTCTGGAATATGCCCCAAAAGCTCTTTTGAAAGATCAGAGTTGAGAGGAAGAAGACAGAGATGTTAGAACAATTCTGTGTAGTCATTAATTCTTTGGGCAAGTGGTAGGGTGTGATGTTATCAGTGTGATGTCACCAGTTGAGGAAGATTGTTCAATAAAAAGGTGGGGTTTTGTTTTTTTTTTCATTCTCTTATCCTCTTTAGACATCCATAACAGGCAAAACTATATCTTGGGACAGAAACCTGTTTTCCTTTGAGGCCCCATCCCTGGAGGTGTTCGAGGCCAGGCTGGACATGGCCTTGGGCAACCTGGTCTAGTCAGAGGTGTCCCTGCCCATGGCAGGGAGGTTGGAAGTCGATGATCTTTAAGGTCCTTTCCAACCTAAACCATTCTATGATTCCTTAAAAATTTCCCTACCCGAATGGCAAAGGAAAACTATAAAATTATTCAGATGCATCCATAAGGAGTATTAGGAGTTTTGATCAGGAAGCATGTCCGCTTTACGTTACAAGTCATCACAGATAAAAATGCCTTCCACTACTAAGAGTATAATGGAGTTAGCAGATTATGCATCTGGTTGCCTTTTGTTACCATATGTGTATTGCAGTATATAGTCCAAGTGGTTGAATGACTTTGCTTTAACTATTTTGACATTTGAACTATTTTTCCAGACACAAATGTGGAGTATATAACAATTTAATGATTTTTGTTAGCATTTTTTGTCTAAAGACTGTGTCAGTTAAACTGATTCTAATAGGATTTCTTAGAGATTTTACCAGAAATCTTCTCTCTGTATATATGTATAAGCACTCTGAATGTCCTTTTTTCTTACTTGATTGCAACTCATGCATCACCTCAGGGGAGGTGGTTCCCAGTTTTAAGTCCTATTTTAAGTTACAGGAGTTTTTATGCTTTAAAGAGACCTTTATTGGAGTAAAACATAGCAAAACACATTTTGTTAAGAAAAGTGAACAAGAAACCTTCCTGGATTGAGAATTACTGCAGGCGGTGTTACGCAGCCTAACAGCCTCAGTAACACAGTGCCTGGTATAGTTTGCATTACTACAGACTAGTACAGAGAGTACGTGGTTGGGTCCCGGCACTGGTGTTAACAGCAACCAGACCAGGCCAAATGAATATGTCCCCTGCAAACGGGTAAAATTTTTGCTATTAGCACTGTTTGGCAAGGAAAGAAAAGCCATAATTTGTAGGCTTACCATAGCTTTCAAGTTCACTTAAGACTCTACAGAGGCAGATAAAGTAAACATTTTTGATTGTGTTGCCTGCTGAGCCAAAACCCTCCACAATAATGGTATTATTGCCACGGAAAACAATACTGTTGGGAAACACGTTAGATCCATGTTATGTTTTGAAGGATAAGCGATATTGACAGCTTTGAGGATTTTTAGCATCCTATCTTTCAAGGGCCTTTTCCCCTCTTCATCACTCCATCAAATCAAAAGAGATCTCGCTCTTCCCCTTGTGAGACTAGTCACCTTTGGCTGTTAATAATAAGTATGAAAATCAATACCAATTCACACTCTTTGCAAAGCAGCATAAGCCTTTCTTTTCCAATTAAAATATATATATACACACATGCAACGTTTCACTGGCAAGGCTTCAATAGAAATCAGTGTGTTTTCTTTGCAGTGCATAGGGGTCGTATGATGCCCATCTTGACAGAGCTAGTTAACTCAAAGAATGGCGGTGAGAGTCAGCTTTTCATTAAATATGAGCAGATGTGAAATGTAGAGTGTTTGACAATTAGAAATGGCAGCAGCAGGGCCCCAGAATCAAAGTGAGGTCAGATTGGTGGATCAGATTACCTCTCTTACATTCTTTAGTTGTTCTGAAAATCATTTTGAATTAGTGTCAGTGGAGCCATGATGGGTTTTGCCCTTTGTCTTTTATGCTAGGACTGTATTGTTTCCCCAGACACTCATTAAAGGTCATTATACTATTACAAGGCTTGCTTTGGTCGTGGTGCCCCAGTTGGGTTGGTTTGCTTCTACAATTGCTTAATGCATTTCTTTCTTTCCTTTTTTTTTTTTTTTTTAACTTTTGGTTTTAAAAGCAGGCTTTTTTTTCTTTTCAAGGTAAATAAAATCACAGACCATTGTATGAAACTTCTTGAAACAATGAGTAGCTTTTGTAAGAATATGATGTCAAGTAGAAGATATCAATTTACATATTCAATGATGTACACAGGATTTAGCGTACTAATTGTATAATATGTAGAGAAAGTGACACTGGTAGTATATTTTCCACTGTGAAACAGTTTCTGTGTTACTAGATTCTTGCCTGTACTTCCAGCAAATGAAAATCATAATTTGATTAAATATCATTACATTAAAATAGCTTTTGAGTTTATAGGCAGTTGTCTGGGAAAAAAAAAAAGATATAATCTTTCTAAATGTAAGGAAATAGAATTTAAATTTTTTTTTGTATCTACATTTTTTCAGGTTTAGCTGCTTTTCATAGTTTGCTACGTGAACAGCAGGCAAATGGTCCAAGTTTTTTTTGTACAGGAGACTCAAGTGAATGAGAATGAAGAGAGACACTTAGCCACTGAAAAACCTGGGCTGGTTTATACAGTGAAATTATGTTACTAATGTGTGATGTTTCTGCTTAGGTCTGAGCCAAATCTTGGGGAGTGCCATTCAAATGATTAATTCATACAGACAGAATCTTAACCTGAACCATTTAATTTCTGTGTTTCTGTATCACCATATGGCTGTGCTTCTCAGGAACATCAAAAGTTCATGTTCCAAAAGGAAACCTTTTCTAAACTTGTCACTGTGCCCACTGCCATGGGAATCTAAACTTCCAAGGACATTCTTGATACTAGGCCCAGGCATATCTAATTCAGCTTGTGAGAAAACATGCTTTGGCATGCTCTGATAGTTCTGAGAAGCTTTATGTGAAGACTTTGACTTTGGTGAATATCAGGGATCTCTGGAGAAGAAAGACAAGACTAATTATCGCTATATTTTGAATGCAAGGTTCAGCCCAAATTCCTAGCCATCCTATTTGGAAAGAAAGACCATGCTAAGGCAAGCTGAAAAAGCTTAACTTTTGAAAGTAGCCAAAGCATGTACCTGTGTACCAAGCCCAGTTTTGAAACATATATTCTGTCTGGTCTTCAAGTGCCATCACGTGGTTTATGCTGAACAGAAAAGTTAGCTGCTGGAACTTTCTCAAAGGACCTAAAATTTCATTCTGCAAGATTAGATGAACGCTTTGGGTAGCTTGAGTAAGGATGGCTGTTGAACCAAGTTTGGTACACTGAGCTGAAGCTGTCTGGCAATGTGGTTTAGCAAGTTAAGTCAAGGAATACTCTTGCTTCATTGACCTGTGATACTTAGGGCAGTGTAGACCCTGCCTGTGTGTGTGTTTAAAACTTAAAAAAAACCAAATTCTATAGCGAGAGTTGAAATGACATGTCACTTACTGATTTAGCCAGAGAGAAGAATGCATAACACACACACATTGGTCAGCGTATCTAAAACTTACCAGTTGTATAACTATGCTTGGGCTTTTCTAAATGAGTTGACTATTAAGTCCTGTATTCCTAAATTACTGGCTGAAAAGACAGTGTAGTCTTTATTTCTCCTAGAGTGCAAGAACCGTATCTTCTGCTTTCTGCAGAAGAAAACTAACCTACTAC